AACTGAGTCGCGGATCGGTCCCTTAGTCATATGCATGATCAAGTGGATGTGTGTTTGCCCTCGCTCTTGTGTCAAAAGGGTTGATTGAGGGTCGCGCGAATCGCTTCTGCTTTTAATGACGTCTCGGGATATTTGTGATTGATTGTCATGTGGACTGACAAGTACCCTTCGATTGGGCGCCAGCCTCCCGTATCTCCCATTCCAACGCGACCCTTTCCCTACAACGAGGAAAGGACACGTGTATGTGAGTGGGACGTACGAGAAGTCGTCGCACAAATCGGCGGGCACTATTACTTCCCTCCGGCCGATCGTTGTTCAGGGTTCGTAGACGCCGGATTTGTCATTATCGATACGCACTTTCCACCCTACTCGATATTGTTGTCGTTTAACGAGCTGATCGTCATTCCGTGGACGGCAGTGGCGCCCCATTGGCCTCGCACTTTGTGCATGGAGTGCCAACGTTTCGATCACTATGAAGCGAAGGGCTTCCACTACCGAATACGGAGTGAGGACGAGCATAAGGAAAGAGCCACTCGGCTGAGACCATCCACATCGGACTTGGAACTGACCAGCGAACGACGACGAGATCTGATACGAAAACGAGACACGCGAAGCGTGCCAAGGCCTTTCCGTTCTAAACGACGGGTCGTAGCCCGGTGGGAAGCCCGACAGTACTTTTTGGATTGAATTTGGATCTTTTTGTTTTCGCGCCATGATGTCGCGCGCATTCCGCGACGCGCGAAATTAATCGACTTGCTACATCGGATCTACACGGGGGGGATTTCAGTTCCATCTGTGTCCCCACACTCAATTTCCAAAAATCATTGGCACACCCCATCTTGCTGTTTTTCTGGGCCTCTTTCTGCCTGCCTAACACTCCGAACGGAAGACAGCACAGGGCGTGAGGTTAGCGCGTCACAGAGAGGCGCCAACATGCAAAGTAGCAGGCTGGCGTCGTCGTCGCACAAAGCCAGCATAGAGCCAGCGTCTTGCTAGCGTCCAGTCAGCGTCAAGTCAGCGAGGCAAGACTGAATGATGACTCCCAGGGGCTGGGTCAATAAGTAGTGTTGACGACGTTGACCAGCCTCTGGTGTCTCACCCATGGAGGCTCAAATTGACTCACAGCCAACAGCCTGGATCTCATATGGTTGCAGACTTTCACTTGGACCAAATGCTGTCTAGATACCTGCGTACAACCAAGTGTGTGTGTCTGATCGGTGGCCTGGACTGGGTCCGTGAAGACTTTGACTCGTGGGCCTCAATATTCCTGTAGGCAATTGACTTGGTCAACTGTCCGACGCAGGGCCTCTGAAGCCACGTTTCAGGGGTTTTGTGCCCCTCTGTCAGATGAAGGACCTGAGGGCCGATTTGCGGCTGCGGGTGGCCCGCTTGGCCGACGACATGGGCATACATGAGCGGGTTATTCGAACAATAATAAATAAATTGTTTTTACTTCTTCTTTTATTTTAAATTTGGTAACAAATTTCAATGTGGCCCCGAGGCAAAAGTTGTTCAGTTTATTTTTCTGCATTAACATACTTTGTTTTCAGATTTTTTCTAGGAAGTTTTTCATGCCCGGCCGGGCATGCGGGCGTGGGTCTGACATCCGGGGTACCCGGCCGAGCAAAAAAATAAAAAAATAAAAAAATTGTTTCTGTTTTTTTTTTTTTTTTGCCTTTCTGTGCTCTCCCAGAGGACCCCAAATCTGGGCTACTTTCAATGTTTGAGAGTTGGCTGTCAAGGGGGGGGAAGGGGGGTATAAATTTGTTTTCAAGGGGCTAAGGGGTTTAAAGGGGGGTCCCTTAGTGTGATTTTGTTATTTTCTTTTTTATCTCCGATTCGGTGAGGAATTCTGATGTGACCTTCAGCCAAACGTTGTTTGTATTGCAATTGTACACAACATACTTTTTTTCTGGAATTGTTTACTTTCGTTTTTTTTGTTTGTTTTTTTTTTGCGCTGGGGCTGCCCGGAACCCTGCCCGGGGGTCATGCCCGGCCGGGCACCTGCGGCATGTATCTGGGCACAAGTTGAATGCCCCCGCGCCCGGTAAAACAGCCGAGGATTTTTTTGAGGTTTTTTTTTTTGCTTTTTTTTGGGGGGGGCGTTCAGGATCGAACTGTCAGCCATTCGGGTTCGGCAGTTCAGCCAAACCCGAACGCGGGCTACCCTAATGCAAACCCTGTTTTTGCCAATGTGGTTATTAAAGAATGTCGGACTCTATGTATCACTAGATAGCATGGACTCTATCTTCAACTTATTCCAAGGCGACTATACTAACTGCCTCACTGAAGTTGTTTCACATA